CTAACAAAGTAACCTTGTAAAATCCAGTCCAAGAGAGATGTTTTCACAACACTCAAGAAGCCTTACAGAGTTTAAAAGTCCAAGAAAGATTATCGTCAAGTTTAGAGAGAAAGAATGGGGTGGGGTTTGTGCTGGTTTGATTGTGTTTTCGCTTCCTCTACGTTGAGGCCGGGGGGGGGGGGGGCGGGTAGGTCCGATCAATATATCAAATTCGAACCCAAGGACCCGTGCCTGGTGCGCTGGGTCCCTGGCTGTGGTTCGAGCTGTGCCCCCGTGCCTGTTTGATAATACACACTCGCCAATGGCTGCCAAAGAGACCCTAGAGCCTAAATAAACAAACTGTCCCTCTCTCTCTACCAGGTTTTTGAATTCCCTCTCATAATATTTACCTCTTTCTCTCTCAACTATGTTTCAATCTCTCTCTTTCTTGTTTCATTCTTGATCCCTCTTTGGTTTGTTTACGTGTGTTTTGTTTTATAACCTTTCAAATTACAAAAGTTTAAGACAGGGAGAGTGAGAGAGTGGTGAATGGTGGATTTATTAATTTTGTTGTATATTTTTTAAAAAATGTAACTTTTGTATGACAAATTTGTAAATATTACTACAAGACAAAAGATATTTTTGTCATCTCCAAAAAAAGATAAAATTGAAAATTTAACTAAATGACAAGGGAACTCTACGAATAAAGTTTCACAACACCAACTTTCAAAATGTCATTGTACTTTTGTGAAAATTTCAAATTTGCCCATGTTTAATAGTAAAGTTACCTATTTAAATAATTTTTTAATAAAAAAATAATGATTATTTTGATAAATACAACCATCACAACCTTTCTAATTTGAACTTTTGTATTTTGAGGGGTTATTAACTCTAGACAAACTTTTATATATATATATATATATAATATTTGTTTCCATCTACTCCACTTAACAAAACTTGTACTATCTTTTAGGTACCAAAATTTGGGGTTGTGTTCTAGAACCCGGCAACCCATGATTTCACTGAAACCATCAACATTTTGGAGGGAAGGATCTAGATGTTAAAAAACTCAAAATCTTCTTCTTCTTCTTTTTTTTTTTTTTTGGAGATAATAATCCAATCATAATTAAATGAAAATAAATTTTTTTTTTTTTAAAAAATCTCTAGTGTTTTTCGATAAGAGAGTAAATATATAGTTTGCTCCTGAAGGATACATGCTCATAAAATATGTACCACGAGCCCTATCTCAGCAAATAAAATGGACAATGTAGTTTATGGCAACTTTATTTCTGCAAATAAGATTGCAACTACGATCCGATCAAATGCGAGGTGCCAACTATACGACCAATTATGCAATTCCATAATTTTGTTAGTGAAATAGGGTAGTTGTTTTTTATTTTATGCAAAAAAAATTGCAACCACACTTAGCTCTCAATTGAGAAATTAGACAAAAGTGACAATAGATTGGCCCTGACCCCATCCTAGGACTCTAACGGGTTGAACTGAGCCTGACCTTGGTCTAACCCCCACCCTACTCTTGAGCTAGGTCGCCACGCATGTTAATGGAGCAAGATTAGGCCAAGGAGGGCCAGGTCATTAAATACTTTTTAATTCATAACGAGAAAAGCAAAAACTAGTAGGGCAAGGCTGGACCAAGCCATGATCTATGGCACAGGCCTAGGCTCATCTCATGCGAAACACCGGTCTTGGATTTTAGCACCTGACATTCCCTCGGGCCCAATCTAGTCGGCCCAGGCTAGCTAGGAGTTCCAATGCTTTACCACCATCATAACCACCCTTTTTAAGGCCGCAAAAGTGTATCGCAAAGCTCAAAAAGGCTATTTCTTTCTTTTAGTGTAGCAAAATCACACACCGCATCGATTCAATGAAGTCTAATGGCTAAGAGTGATTGTGATATATATTTTTAAAATGACACAATTTTTAAAGTCATGATGCATAAAAAAACTCAAAATCTACTATCCAGTTCACAAATTTAGGCGGTTGAATAAGGTCATTACGAATGAAAATTGGCTTAGAAGTACTTGAATTTTGAGGTAGCATGAAAACTTGGAATTGAGCCCCTCGACCAACTCTTGAATTTGGGGAAGAAAATGGCAAGAACTTAGTTGAGTAAGTGTATTACTAAATAAATTTATCTAAATCCTATGAGACATGGACTATTGAACATTCGATCAATATTTTTTTATTTTAAAACGTGAATTATTGAACATTCGATCAATATTTTTTTATTTTAAAACGTGAACTATTGAACATTCGATCAATATTTTTTTTATTTTAAAACGTGAACTATTGAACAATCGATCAATATTTTTTTATTTTAAAATATCCATCATTTTTTAATTTTAAAATACCCATCAAAAGACATGCGAGTTGGAATAGTTGTAAATAGGTAAATGTTAAATAGTCTATCTCCTAAATTATTTCCTTAGGTTCTCTTTATCATTGCCACTAAAAAAGAAGCGAACCAATCCCAATATTCCATCCATCGCAAGGGATATAGATTTTAAGTAAGGGAAATGACGTAATGGAAAGGATCTTACCCGCAATATTTAAATCTTAGCCATGAGATTTCAAATTGGATGACTAAGAGTGCCCATGACCTCTTTTACATCATAAGTAAATGGTATGCACTCCAGAAGAAAAGGAAAATCTATCAAAATGCACTCAAGATACTAACTATTTTACTTATTCTTTTGTTTAATTTCAAGCATCCAAAATATATTATGTTCCCACAGAGCATATTATCCATTTAGTCCTCTGGGGCGAAACTCAAGATAGAAGCAATTTTAGGGACCCAAATTTTAGAGATGTAACATCATCAAGCCATCTTGTCAAAAAAAACATCATCAAACCATGGACTAACCTCAAAAAAGAAAGGTTAAAATCACTCTCTGTGCACTTAAAAAAAAAAACCTTAATATTGAACTTTGTCTATCCAATTTATCGAGGCTGAGATCTAAGTATAAGGAAACTTGAAATCCAAGTTTTATCTTTTGAAAATAATCATCTAATGATTCTTAATTTTCAAAATTTTAGATTAAAAAAATTCCTCTCAATTCAATTTTCTATTAGAGGGAGTAAATGAATACTATTATCACATAATATACGCTCCCTTTCAAGAACCCTCCAAATAGACATGATTATGAGTTGGAAAAGTTGAAAATGGGCAAAATGTTAGATCAAATGTTTCAAGATACTCCATCCGTATAGCAAATAGCCCTATCCGAATTGGAAATCAGCCGAGAACAACCTATTTTTATTTTCTGGATGTATTCCTATGTCCTTCTAAATTTTGGGATTGTATTCTATGAGATCTTAGCCATTGGATGTGACTTCCGACAGCTCAAAGTGTATCACATAGTTCAAATTTTTTTATCATGGACTTTGTGCCTTGTTAATAAACAGCCCTAGCGACCCGATTTAACATCCAACAGTCGATAATCAATGTGACTTATTTGTATGAAAAATAGATGGCCTTATTGTATATTTTTCCATAGGTTGTTATTTTGCGTTTTCAGATATATTCTAATGATTTAAGAAATTTTTTTATATATGGTGTCTTCCTTATATTAAAGAAGTATGATGCACAGTAAAAATCTACCCAAAAAGGTTATTCCAACTTTAAAAAACTATATGCTTGATCATCCTGCCCTCGAGATATATGGACATAAAAAAAAGAATTCAAGTCTTAAAAATAATGTATCTTTTAACGAATTATCTATAACATCCATTTTCAAATTTTTCAAATGCTTATACATCTGTCCAATCCACACCATATTTGGAGCTCTGAAATTTATAATTAGGGAGAAATACGTTTAAAGCTATCGTAAAGGTTTATAGCACTACATTTGCATCTTTTAGCCATATTTATAAGTGTGCCTACTTTGATAATTCAAATGGATGATCCAACTTGAGATTTGTGGGTGGATGATCTACCCAACACATCTAAATTTTTAATCTATGTGTTAGATATTTAACAAAGGAAAAAGTTTATATAAGGGCGAGGCCCTAAACAATCAAATTAAAGCGTATCTCAACCCAAAGAAGTTGTTTCGATGCCCAACAAAATCTTCAAATTGATTATCTCGAATTCAAGATGTATAGACATGAGAAAAAATGGATTTCAAGTATTGGAAATAGTGCATCTTTTAATGCATTTTTGGACAATCAATTTCACAGTTTTTCAAGTATTTATATATATGCTCGATCTACACTATTTTTTAAGCTTTAAATTTTTTAATTAGAGATGGAAATAATTTTTCAAGCCATCACAAAGATTTCTAGAATGAAACAATATATTGGACACTATTTGAAGGTGTGCATTACTTTGATTGGTTAGGGCATCGGTCTTATACAAGCCACACCCTTTAATAAAACTAAGTGTATTTCGATAAGTTACCAAGATGGATAGAAATGAGAGAAAGTAGATTTAGGTAGGCTGATCAATCTAGCACAACACCTGTTAGGATGTAAGAGTTAGTTCAAGGGAAAGCTCACAAAGGTCAAGAGGTAGGCCTAAACGACATGGTTGAAAGTAGTGAAAAAATATATTGGGACTTATGGCTTCACTTAAGGTACTTAATAAAGCAAGACCATGATTTGTGTAACCGACACTAAATAATTGAAAAAAAAGGTGTAGTTGGCATACGGATGCATCCGTAGATGTAGAGGTAAGGTGTGCCTTCAAATTTTATCATGGTATATAATTTTGTTGTAAAATATTTCTAAGATTATCTCAAAATCTATTTTTATATCTAATTATAAAATTTTAAATTTCAAAAATAGTAAAAATCAAGTAGATCTATAAACATATGAAAATCTTAAAGATGGACGGTGTAGATAATATATTGTAAAATGCACTATTTGATGTCTAGATGATCAATTTCAACATCAAAACTACTTTTTTCCGATAGATTTTTGAGAGGGATCTGTAGTTCTACATCCTCATATAAACTTTTTTCTTGAAAAAAAGGATAATAAGATGATAATAACATGGGACACGTAAAACACATGCGACTGCTGGAGTGAGTGACCTGTGCGACGATGCAACCTTTTGGCATTTCGTTATCCGCGAACGCCCCAGTAACTGAAAATCAAAGACAAATTATTTCCTGCGAAAAATTGATTGAAAGGCAAATACTATGCGCCTCTCTCTCTCTAGAACCAGGAAGAAGGCCACTCCTCTCTCTAAAACCACAGAAATCAGGAGAGAAAACCATTCTGTTTCATGGCACCTCTTCAAGCTACTCATCACATCTCCATCCTCCAAACCAGAACTAAAATGCATATTCAAAATCACCGAAACCCTAACCCTAATACGACCCAAGATGCTCTGCAATCTCCGCCACTTCCTCGTCCGAAAATTTATGGGATTCTCTCACTTTTCCCTCTGCAAATTTGTAGAAGTCTCTGCAAATTCTGGCCGAATTGACGTCGCCACTGAAGCTTTTCAAACACTTCGTGCGCTTTTCTCTGAAATTGCGCCTCCAGTTCATGTTTATAATGTCCTTCTGAGAGGATTTCTTTGGAAAAACATGCCAGAAAAAGTGCCTGAGATTTACAGCGACATGCTTATTTTGGGGGTCTCACCTAAAACTCACACAGTGAACATATTTTTGTCATCTCTCTGCAATTCTGGTCGGCTAAGCGATGCTCGTCAACTGTTTGATCAAATGCATTCCAAGAGTTGTAAACCCAATCTCTTCAGTTTTGGGATCATGGCTCGTGGCTATTGCAGAGCTGGGTGCTCAAGCAAAGCTCTAGAGCTTATAAATGAGATGGATAAATTTGGGTTTTCCCCTAACCAGGTAATCTATAACACCATTATATCTGGCTTTTGCAGAGAGGGGAAAACAGAGGAGGCAGAAAAATTGGTTGGGGCAATGGAGTCAGCTGGTCTGTTTCCTGATATCGTTACCTTCAATGCACGGCTTTCTGCTCTTTGCAAGGCCCAGAAGGTTCTAGAAGCTTCTAGAATCTTCCATGATATGAAGATGGATGATGGTCTTCCATCGCCCAATGTAATCAGTTGCAGGATAATGCTTGATGGGTTCGGCAAAAATGGGTTCATGGAGGAGGCCCTGGCTCTTGTCGAGTTGATGAAAGATAATGGGTTTTTCAACTCAGTCGAGAGTTATAATATATGGATTCATTGCCTGGTAAATAGTGGGAACCTCTATGAGGCCCAACTTGTTCTAAAAGAAATGGCAGAAAATAGGGTAAAGCCTGATATTTATTCATATAACATATTGATGGGTGGGCTATGTAAAGATCACATGATGGGTGATGCTCTAAACCTCATGAATTCCATGAAATCCGATGGGATTTCGCCAGACCACGTCTCTTTCAACACTTTGCTTCATGGGTATTGCTCCAAAGGTATGGTTTCAGAAGCCATTGAAGTCCTTAATGAAATGAGCTCTAAGAAATGCTTTCCAAACACTGTAACCTGCAACATTTTGTTGCAAAGTCTATGGAGAGAAGGAAGAGTTTTGGAGGCTAAGCGGTTTTTACAGAGGATGAGTGAGAAAGGCAGGATCCCGGATACCATGACATGTAACATAGTGATCGATGGCTTATGTAAGAGTGCGAAGTTAGATGAGGCCATTACGATCATGGATGGTATGTGGGAGCACGGGTCTGCTGCTCTTGGAGACCTTGGAAATGCAGTTCTAGGGCTTGTGGATTCGAATAGTTGTAGAAAGTGTCTACCAAATGTGGTCACTTACTCGTTGCTTATAGATGGTTTGCTCAAGGCTGGGAGATTAGAGGAAGGAAAGAAGAAGTTCATGGAAATGGTTGGGAAGAACATAGCCCCTGATGAATTTATATACAACATTTTTATAGATGGCTATGTTAAGAATGGGAAACTCTCGACTGCTTTTAGGGTTTTGACTGATATGGAGAAACAGGGTTGCAAGCCAAGCACCATAACCTACAATTTGTTGGTCATGGGATTGGCTGGTGAGGGGAAGATATATGAAGTCCATGGGCTGATTAGAGATATGCAAAACTTGGGTGTTTTTCCTGATATATTTACTTATAACGGCTTGATCAGTGCCCTGTGCGAGGGAGGAAGGGTAAAAGAGGCTGCTTCACTTTTGGATGAATTGTTGAATAGGGATATCACTCCAAACTCTTCTTCTTTCAAGATGATAATTCAAGGTTTTTGCAAGGCTGAGGACTTTGGGGAAGCGTGGCAGGTTTTTGAAAGAGCTATAATCATATGTGGTGCCAAAGAAGATCTATATAGTTCAATGTTTAACGGATTATGTGTGGGTGGGAGGGTTTCTGAAGCTCGAGGCTTATTTGAAACCATCTTAGAAAGAGGAATCAATTTTAAAGGATGCTCTTATACAAGCTTAATACAGAATTTCTGCAAGGCAGGCAATTTTAGAGGGGCACAAGAGATACTCGAGAAGATGAGGGATAAAGGCTGTGTATTCAACCCTGCCGCATTCTTGCTGGTGGTTGAGGCTTTGGAAAAGAATGGTCACAAGCATGATGCCGATAAGCTTGCAGAGGAAATGATGGAAATGGCTGAAAGGTACGAGGAATTGAAAGCCTTGGGGCTAAAGAGGGAGAAGAGGACTCGGAAGGAGGGATTGGATGGGAAGAAATCAATAGGGAATCATTTGAAGGAAGATGGGAGTGGTGGAAGTGATTGGCAGTCTTTGTTGCACAGGTATGCTCAAATATTGAATTTAGCACGAAAACAACGAACTCTTTTAATTTTAGAAAAACAAGAATTAAAGAAAAATGGCTTTTAGGCATTTTAAAAAATGCAAAAAAATAAAGAAAATCAAATATATTCAACAAATAGCTCTCTTTAACATAGACAATTTACTATATCTCTCTTATGAGGGTCAAAGATATTTCTATTGGAACTGTTCCATGCATAGCTATATTAGAAATCGGTGTGGCTGATACTCTGCCCCTTTATCTGGCATTTCAAGTTTTTTGCCTTAACATCTTACCCTGTTTCCTTTTTTTCTTGCTTTTGTCTAACTTTTTACTCTAGAAATTCTCCCCTTATTTTTCGTGATGTATTTATGGCATTTTTCATATATGTGGATGAGTTTATCACTCCAGAATCGTGTCTCCTTTTTTTAGTTCATCCATGAGAGATTGGTTGTAATGTGTATTGTTGCTGACCTTACTGCAGGGATGATGGAAGTGGAATTGCAATGAAAGTGCTGAAAAGGATCCAAAAAGGTTGGGGTCAAGGAGCTATACCGACCTCTCCTCCCCCAAAACACGACATTCTTGAGGATTGGGAAGAATTTGCATGATGCAATTTTCTATAAAGATTTTGTTCTGAGAATGCATGACATTTATGTTTCAATGCCATTTTACAATAATCAAGCTTAATGATGGCTAAGGAACGAATGCCCGTGGGAGTGGGAGCGGGAGCAGGAAATGCCCACAGGATTTGGATATGGTTTGGGGTGCAATTGTGCAAAGATTCCTCGTCTCAGTAATCACTGGGGGTGTGTTGATTCTTAAAATGGGAAGGCCACTCCAATATAAAATATTGGACTTAAGCTTTCAATTGCATGGTAAGAGGTTTACGTTCTTGTCATGGTCGAGTGTATTCATTTGTTTATTGATGTTGGATTCATCGGAAGTTTTTGGTCATGAATCCACAAGCCACAATACACACAATATATGTTATGTATGTTCTTCACACTCAAGCAATCATTGTATAACATCACAGAATCCAGAAGTGTATTCCTACTAGTATAGTTTAGTTTTAGGTTATAGATCAAAATCACTGCCTTAAAGATTTTTCCATATCGTCTATGTAACAGGTTCATTTATACGTGGATATTCAACAGAAAAGAAAGAAGATAGCCTCAATGGCCTTGTGGTTATGGATTCCAATCAGGCTTTCTAGTAACACTCCGTCAAGGGATTGCAAATTAGCCTGGTGGGAAACTTTGCCTTCCGCTTAGGGGAGGATTTAGTGGACCCACAGGCCTTGAATTGCTTGTGGGACAGGGATTTATTATGCTCTCTCTCTCCCCCCACACCCCCCTCCCCCCTCCCCGAGACTTGTGCGAACTTTACGAATTATGCCCATATGGTGTGATAGATGATGAATTTTGAATCCACTCAGCTTCATCTGAAAAGTGATGAATCACTCAAAATCTTTCCATTTTGACCATTTGATTCAAGGAGTCCACACAATAGAAAAAAGAATTGCTGAAGAACATGGCCAATTCACGCATTGCTGCATCTTTGTATATGTAAAATATGAATTTGATTCAAATATGCATCTGCTCAATCAACACCGCACTGCTGCACTGCCTATTTGAGCTGAACCTTTGTTGAGCTGGCTTGTTGGCTGGGTGCTTTGGAAGTTTGGAACACACGGGAATGACGAATACACACAAAAAACCACAACACTCTCAAATTACGAAATGCATGACCTTCCAGACTATATGCTATATACAACATCCAAAACTGTTATATTTTTCAATGGTGCATTTTCTCACCATAATCTTTCTCGATTTCCTGCAACTGTTGCATCAATCATTCTTCGACCACATTCTTTACTGTCCTCACTGGACTCACCATTGTTGAACCAAACATGCTATGGATTCATGCTAGGTGGAAGCATGGGCATGACACGATGCCATCCCTCTTGTATTTAGGAGTTTAATGACCAATCAAAGTCTTGATAGACAATATTAATGGGGGCCCCATCACTCAATAAATGAGTCAAAAGACCTGCTTTAGTTGCATCTGTGTAGTTTAGTACCCAGTTCAAAATTTCTCTTTCCTGACCAAAATCTGCACTGAACCTGGCAGATCACAAATCTAGCATCAGAATAAAACCGTTGACATTCTTTCTTTTTTTGTTTGTGTGTGTTTTTGTTTTCTTTTTTTTTTTTGGGGGGGGGAGGGGCGAGAGAGAGAGAGAGAGAGAGAGAGAGAGAGAAATTGCTAGCATCACTTTTTGTGTGTGTGTGTGTGTTTGTGGGTGTGAGAGAGAGAGATGCTCAACTTGTTAGATGGATTATGACAGAGATGAGCAATTAATTGCTCTTTTGTGTTCAGATGGATTTTGTTGGATTATGACATACCATTTCATGATTCTTGTGAGATAAACAGTCCTCTTCTCTAAATTCACTGCCATCCCATCTCCATGGAAAAATTCTCTTGTGGCATATCTTAGTTCTGCTTCAATTCCTTCGGCAGAAAAAAACCTAACTGTTGGGCTTGATCTTGTTGCATTGCACAATCCAAAGTGAATTAATGGGTTCAACTTTGGAAGGGAGGCCTGAAATAGCACATCATTTGAATATATTTAGGTGTCTTGTAACAGCATTTAGTTTCTTATGCATATACATCATATAGGAATGTCTAGGATTTGCTCACTTAGTTCCCACTATCTTAAGTCTGTTAACTCCCACTTACCCAATAAAAGTCTGTTAACTCCCAGAAATTTTGCCAATAATATTGCATTGCCCTATTTTGCAAATCCTTTCTAGGCAGGGGCAGTTTTGATCATTTGCCACCAAATTATAATTTGGAAACATGCAGTTCAGATTCCTATGTTGAGCTTCAAGACATGTATTGTGTTGTCACCAGTTTCAATGGGGCACTAAAATATGTCTCCTGCTTCTCACTTTATGGTTATTTTCAGACTTTCCCTTTGACTGATGAGTGATGACTAAAACAGCCTGCCCAAAAATGATTTGCCTAGACAGTAGGATGATACATGTGTAAAAAACTCTTAAATTCTTTATCGAGATGAACAAACTTCACTCGGTCTTAAAAGTATTATATTACGTGATAATGCCATGTTATAAAATATGGAGAAATAACAGAAAAAATTGTGTGAAGTTTGGTGGGTCACTAAAGATGGAAGATAAGAATTTTTTGTACCTCCAGTCGCTTGTCACTGGCATGAAAAGGTCTTGCCAAAGTATATGGTTGCCTCCTGTTGCCTCGGAGGATTCCATTCTTTATTGCTGATAAAGAATATGGGTAGCCTCCTACTATGTACTGAAACTCTCCGAAGAAGGTTCTCCGATCAATTACTCCCCCAGGTTCTCCAATCCTTATGACTGCATGGATCACCATTGCGTTGTAGAGATTTAGGAAAAAAGCAAGCCTCTGGTTGTCTTTGAGTGCTAGGATGTCTGTGCGTTGTAGATCCTGTACAAGATTTGCATATCTGCAAGATAGTTCACCAGTTATTGAGATAGAATGGAATTAAAATTGTAATGAGAAAATTGTTGGGCATGCTAGATATTTCATGAATATTAGCCAGACAAAATTACTTGGGTATTTGAATTCCGACAGGAACGTAATTTATGGCTTCAGAGATAGTTGAAACTTTCTTTCCACAAATAATAGATGGTAATATTCATTGTCCAAAGTTTTTGAAGTATGTGAACGAGGTTCACTTTATGGGAAATATGGTAATGTTGCTATTGTAGTGACAAATATTGTATATGTAAGGAAACAGGCTTGTGTCAAGACGTTTCACAGTCCAACATCTAAAGTTCCATTCCTATGAGTAACCTTTTAAAAGTATATGTAGGGATGATAAGTTTGTAGACGCGGAAAGTAATCCACAAAAACAAGAAAGAAAAAATAACAAAAGAAAAAGACAACCAACCATAATGCAAAGATATGCGTGGTTCGACAACGTGCTTACGTCAACGGGAGATGAGAGCTTCTTTACTGGCAATGGAGAATAGGGTTACAATAGCTTTCTTCCTCACACCTCTCTGTTCTCTCTAATTACAAAAAAATCTACGTTTTTCCTTTGACCCTAAATGAACTCCCTTTCGCAACAATATATATTAAATCGCAGCAATGTATATCGAGTCACAACAATATATATCAAGCCCTTCGGGCCTTCGGCCCTCCGGGCCTTTAATGGCCCTCCGGAGTCGTCTTTTTTACTCTACCTGGACAGATCTATTTCCTCATAATACAAGATATCAATCCTCAACAAAGTTAATTCTTAAGAAGTTTACATTTGAATTCATTTGGGTTGTGACTCTTGTGTCAATAGCGATAAGTTCCACTATTACCCTAAATGAACCCCCCATCGCAGCAATATATATTGAATCGCAACAATGTATATCGAATCACAACAATATATATCAAGCCCTTCGGGCCCTCGGCCCTCCGGGCTTGTAATAGCCCTCCGGAGTCGTCCTTTTGACTCTACCTAAACAGATCTATTTTCTCAGAATACAAGATATCAATCCTCAACAAGTTAATCCTTAAGAAGTTTACATTTGAATTCATTTGGGTTGTGACTCTTGTGTCAATAGTGATAAGTTCCACTATAATATTTAATTTGTTCCTCTTCATATTCATTCCATGTAAAATCTTGAAATTGAAAAGATTACCTTGAGAGTGGAAAGCTGTTATGCTAAAATGGTGGAGGCGGCTGCTTGTCTTTTGATATCAAAATGCTCAATTGTTATCCGAAAGCTCATTTACAAATGTAGCATATATCATGGTTTAAATTATCAAATTTGTAGATAGGGGCAATGACTAGTAGTTCATTTTGGGCCAAGGTCGAGTGTCTGAAGATGAATTTTCATAAATCAAACTGAATCTTATGTTGGTATGGGTTAATTGTTCATGAGCTTCATAAGAATCCTAAAAGTTCACCTTAACATCATACTAATGCTCTTATGGCTGGCATTTTTCATAGATTCCGGTTTTTTATTCATTTCAATGGGGAGCTATACTTTGGTACATTTGCTTCTGGAGATGTCTAAACTATTCTTTCATATTAGAAGCTGATATATATATATATATATTTTAAGTAAAGGTGACTGATTGTTCTAATATATTATTGGCAGGTTAAGTTATAAGCAAATGGGTTGGTAGGATTACCTTCGGAATTCTTCACTGTTGCTAATACGGTGATAATCCACATTGCAGCGGTCATCTGTTGCATAGGCCTCGAGTATGGCGGACATTATTTTATTGAGCTTCTTTCCAACCACTTGGGCTGACTCTGGTTCATCATCATTTGTACATCCTCGGAAGTTGAAGCATTTGGGTATGGTGGGTTCGTGTTCGAGGAAACGATAGAAATGGTTTCCATCTTCGAAGTCATTTTCCCTGAACAGAGGTGATTATCAAAAAGAGAAAGTAGGAGCTTTAACTGTTGCTGCTACTGTCTTTCATTTCTTGTGCTATAGTACTGTATTTGTAGTGATATAAAATTATAGTTGATGATACATTGATACTTACTGGAATACATGATGGAAGAAATGCTTCCTCGCGAGCTGTTTCCCCATTTCGATAGCCTGCATGTGCCATATGAGACCATTGAGAAACAGCAGATGAAGATTGTTCTCGAGCCCTATATTTCTATTTGAGTTGGGTATCCTACATGAATTACCATGTGGTAGTAAATGATATAGTTCTGATTATTATTTTGAATTTTCTGGAATAAGCCAGAAACCATGCTAGGCCGCTGTGCATTGTAAAGAATGGTCTCGATTGTTGCCAATCTCAATCGATGATCCATGCAGGTCTGCCTTTAAACATCAGGAGTATTAATTTGACATTAACTGTGCTTCATTCCAGAACGTGTAATGTCCAATGATGGCATGTTTATACTATGATTTTGAGGGCTAAGCTGATGTTTTTCAGCACATGCCCAAGCATAAGAAGCCTCGCTGGGATTGATGGAGCTGGTATTTTTTATTTGCAATATCTTAAATCACCAAAGAAACATTTGAAAAAGTTTTTCCTTCATTTTTTTTCTAATAATCCCAATATATAAATGGGATTTGGGACGATTCTTTTAACTTACTTGTGATGTTCACAAGGAGAGAGAGAGAGAGAAGGCGGGAGGACGGGGTTCATGGGTGAGAAAGAGAGAAATAACATGGGGCATTTCTAGGGTCATTCGAAAAAGTAAAAAAAGATAAATATTATAATATGTACAAATGAAAAGGGGGTTAAATGTTATTTTCTTTTCATTTGTAGAGGGTCTATGGGCTTTCAAATAATCTGAGGGTTATCTGGGATTATAATTGTTCAAAGGGGAGTATATTTGTTGTTTTCCAACTTTTTAATATGAAATTCTGGAAATCACTTTAGAATCACCCCACAAGTATTTCCAATCAAAAGGTATGGATTTTGAGTTTTTTTTAAGTATTTTATATCAGATTACTCCAAAATGGTATTTGTTTAATCTTAGGATGTTTTTCTTAGGCACTCTGTCTTATAGATTACTTGGGAATTCTTTTTTTTTAGAGGTTGGTCACAAGATTGAAGTTACATCATAACATAAAATTTAGGGTCTTAAAACATTCTACTTGAGGAGTTGAACCCCATATGCTCCCGACGGAGCATAATCTTTGGCCTATGATAAGTGTCAACTTTGCATCGACAAGCTTTGAGACCTTCACTCTCCGATTTTTACTTGGAGGCATTAAAGGGGAAAGTTTTGGTCCGCTCCTACAAACTTGGCGAAAATGCCCTTCTTTAAAAAGACCTAAAGTTATATGAAGAAAAATCCCTCTTTTTCTATTACCTCATGCAAAAGAGGCTGAGTGGCTTATATAAAGCAAGTGCTCCACTCAAACTAGCTCTAAAACTTGATGCATATTTCCAAATTTTGGTTAAACTTTTATGGCGTGTTTGATTGGTGGAAGCCACATCTTCTAGAGCTTCTGAAGTGGCAGCTTCCATGGTGAGCAAGGAAGCCACCGCTTCCCTTTTACACACTACTTTGGCAGTCATAGGAAGTGGCAACTTCTAAATAGCAGCACTTCCCATTATCGGACACTGGAAGTGCTACAATTAGGGATAAATGTGGCTTTGCAACCTGCAGCTCCCCATTATCATACACGCCCTTAAGATAGTTAAAAGTGAGTTATATACATGGATGTCAGAGCAACAATTTCAAAGTTGACAAAAATTACCCCTGGAATTCAAAGGATCAAGTCTGACTAAATTATTTATAAAAATCTAACAATAAACGCGAACCCGATCTTGACTTAATGAATTTTATGATGAATGAATTTCAGTAGCCAATAAAGAAGAAAACATGCATAATTTCAAACCTTCACCTAACCAGGGACCAGAGTTTCTTACATACTGATCCAATTTTCAACCTAATTTTTCACTTACTTCATTTTAAAAAAATTTTATCCAAATTTGGATATTCATTCGAAAATTTTGGATGAAGTATCACAAAAATAAAACCCTAACGAAATTAAGTCTAAATTTCGGTTAAAGTATGAAATATTAATGCAAATTTGGAGGCCCAAAGAGCATTTTAGCCCTCAAAGCGGTCCATCATGGACTGGATTTCGGCCGAAATAACACTGAATTTCGCCAAAATATTAGTGTTGGACACTCATAATTAAAGGGCCTGAGCAAATAATTACACCACGCGTTCCAGGCATTAATTTTGCAAAATTTATGGAGCCTATCATGGCTTAGAGCTCGTACATAATTAAAGGGCCAGAAAAGGACACTAAAAAGTAGAGACTTTCTAACGTAAGAACGTTAAAAGTATTTTGTAGGTCGGGGGCTTTATCAAAAGGGCAATAAGATCATTTGCCTATTGTACATAATCATCTAATGTGAAATTTGAGAGCTTAGATGTGTTGTAAAGCACAAAATATTTTTTTTTGAACTCTTAGCTATTGCCTACAAAGCAGTACCTCAAGTTAAGGCAACTCGGAAAACTACAGCTCCTTCTTTTCTAGTAAATTTATAAATCGATCATCTTAACTTCAAAAATACTTGGGGAAACAAAGGTTTCAAGCCTTAAAAGTGGTTTAAGCTCTATATCATGTGATGCATTTTCTGAACATATATTTAAATCTAGATCTGAAACATTTTTGGAGCTTCAAATAATGACAAAAATAATTTTAAGGCCACTACAAAGATTTCCCATTCCGAAAATACGTGCTCTAGTAGGACCAATGAGATGTGAATTTACAACGCCTTGTAAGTCTCTCATAAAGGTCATAAACCACACCCAAAAGCAAAAGGGGCATGAAAAGACTTTCTCAGCATAAAATAAGGTACGCAAACACTGTTCAACGATATCCTACCAAACACAAGAGAAGAAAACCATATCCCACTTTTGTTATTGACTTGTCAGCGTAATAAACCTTATACTAAAACTAGGGTGACCCAATCTCTCATAGGATAGGAGTAAAGGGGTAAACAGAAAATAACTGATCACACAAGACAATAGAACTTCAATTATTTGGGAAAAGGGTCTGGTTTTCCCCTCCATTTGGAGGAAGGAAACTATCTCGTTCATTGAAACAGTCAACATTTTTTAAACGGTTACTTTTTTTTTCAAAAGAATTTGAATTAGTTACTTTTCCAAAGGGTATTTGTAGAATCACTTATTGAATCAGAAATTCCCATTTAGAAAATGGGTGGATCTAGTTGGAGAAACCCGGGAATCATCTCGATTCCCCTGGTTCTATACTTTTTTCTTTTAAATTTCTTTATATTAAACAGCCAGATACAACTCGGAAGCTCGAAAAGGTGACCCAATGCCTTTTCTTAAACCACTGATGTGAAGTTTTAAGTATTTTTTCACTAAATTAAAACTCATTATAACGGTTACTAAAATTTAACGATTTTTAAATGACCCAAGCATTATTCGATTTTAGATCCCTTACATAGCTGGTTAGTAATGGTAAAAAGCTGAACTCCTTTCCAAAATTTCTTGAATATTGTTGTCTTTTCCTCAATAAGAGGATCAAGACAAGAAAAGATGCTCAATTTTGGGAGCTAAATATACTTGTCAAAAAAAAACTAGGACCTAAATATGGGGATAAAGTAAAACGGTCAAAACCATTTATTCAGGATTCTTTGCTTTAAGCAACCGTTGAGATACCTAAAGCCTTCTTATTTTGCCATCATTTGGTAATTAAATTTTAATATTCTCCAATAGACAAAGCAGCCAAATTGACTATTAAACTTTGGGGAATTTATCTAAATACCAATGGAAGGACTAACATTCAATTTAATTTTAAAATCCCCATCAAGATCATAAATAATTCTTCTTCCGGTGTACTTTTGATAAATTTCTCTTAAAAATTGCAATTTTCCCAATCTGAAAAACATCAAATTCTGGCCAAATTTAGGATTTTAATTCATTTTTTTTAAGAGGGAAAAGAAAAGGTTCCATTAAACCATTCTCTGATTTTAGCCACAAAAAAGACAAAATAAGCTAAATTACATACTTTCGGGGGAGAAAACAAAACGGAGAATCCAATAATCCCTTCTGAAATCTTAAGCACAACAAAGAAACCACCGAAATCTATCTGAAATTTCAACGAAATTTAGGATAAAATTCGCTCTGAATCACGTCCTTTGGTTCTGACTTTCTGTGTCACCTGACACTTACTGAAATGAACCAGACCCAACTCCAATATCCAAACTTCTCTTGAAAAAGTTCTCCATTTTTGCAAGAAAACACATGAAAAAGAACAAAAAGAAAAAGAAGAAAATCAGCCTTAATTAATATTTGACAGAGAAAACACAGGTAAAAAAAGACTTTCCCAAAAAAAAAGTTCTTGAGAAAAAAAAACACGGAACAAGAAACACCCAATAAAACTTACAGAAAAAAACACAGAATCAAACTTACCCAAAGAAAACGTAGAAAACGCAGAATCAAGGAAGCTTCGTAAACAAGTAAACATAACAAAAGACCAAAAAAAATTACATGGAAAACAGAGAACACAGAACCAGAGAAGTTATAGCAAACAAGTAAAATTGCCTAAAAACATTTACAGACAAACCAAAGAAAACAAAGAACCAGAGAGTTACAGTGAAGAAGTAAGCGTACCTTTTTTCTCCCACAATCCATGTGTTGAATCAAGACCTCCACCGCTTCACCACCAGAAAAGCAATTCTTCACAATCTTCATCTTCATGATCCTATCTTGTATAGGGAGCTTCTGCCTCAAAACCCTAGCTATACCTAACAGTTCATCTTGCTTGTGCTCTTCATCTGGATCGTCGAATCCATAAACGGGTGGTTGAGGAGCTTCAGGTGGGCACTTACCGGCCGTTAATTCAAGCAATCTCCTCTCGAACTGGCCACTGTTTCTCAGGGAATTCAGAGCCACTAATCCTCCAAAAAGCTGCTCATTGAAGAAAATTTGAGGAACAGAGGAGCTACCAGTTCTCTGTAGAAGCTCATTTTCTCTCGATGGATAAACATCGATGTTGATTTCGACAAAATTTAGGGCCTTTTCTCTGAAAAAAGCCCTTACAGCGCTGCAATCTCTGCAATTTGACCTAGAAAAGAAGGCGATCCTTCCTTTGAACTCAGGTTCTTTAGCTTTTAACTGGACTATTACCTTTAAACCAGTTAGGTTAAACTGCTTCACTGTAGAGATTTTCTCTGCCTCATCTGGTTCGCTATCCTTTAGGGAAGAAATGCGCTTGACTATTGCTGAGGATAAGCTGTTGCTTCGTTCCTTAATGAATTTTCCGAAGGACGGCATGTCTCGGGTTTCAGAAATAGAGCGCTCCGTTTGAGGTTCTGGGGTTTTGTTACGGTTTTTTGGCTCAGAGAGAAGCCCTTGGGGAACCTCTGGTTGAGGAAGCCATGAGTGGGGCTTTAAGAGCTTCTCTTCGTTTCTGTAATCAAGGGATTTGCTCTTATGGCGAATACTTTTGTCGTTCTCTTCATCTGAGCTGTTATCACAGGTTAATGGCTTTTGTGAATGAGTCTCAATTACTCCATTTGTAATGGAGCGATCTTCGTGATCAGTGACTGTTTCATCGCCATTTTCTCTCTCTAAACTGCGATCTTTACATTCTTCGATTGAATTCTCACCATTTTCAAGCGAATCACGAGCTTTTGTGACGGGTTCTGCACCATTTTCTTCATCTGGTTCAGATTTTGACGGTTCTTTACTAACCGTAACCCCGTTTTTGTTGTTTCCTCCATCAAAACCATTCTCCACAGGGGCCTTCTCATCTGAAACCTCCATTATACCATTTATCAAGGATCCTTCACAAACCGTAGCTGATTTTTCGCCATTTCCTTCATCTGAATCGCTAAAAGATTTTGAAAACTCATCTCTCAATGAAACTCTACGGCGATCACTAGTTCTTGGGCGTGAATCCATGGCTTTTGAACCATTAGGAACCTCAGAAGCAGGAAAATCCAATTCTGATTTAGCTACTTCCTCCATTTTCCTCCGGTTTCTTCTGATTTTAGAGGAGTGACGGCCAGAACTACAACGCTGAAGCCATGAAAGCATAGGAGCTAGAAAAAAAAGTATGGGAACAAGCTCAAAGGAAACGGACGCTACAGAGAACGATATAATGGAGAATAAAGAGAAATTGGCACCTAAAAACGAGAAACAATAAAATGGAGAATAAAGAGAAATTGGCAGCTAACGACGAGAAAAGAGCAGGTATGGAAGCAGAACAATTAAAATGAAGAATCAGAGCAGGGAAGCCTAAGAGGAGAGAGAAGCCATTGAAACAGAGAGAACAGGAAGCAACAAGGAGAAAAAACTGAAAGAAAAAGAGAGGACAAAATGGAGAATAAAACAGAGGAAAAGACTGGGAGAAAAGGAACGAGAAAAGCTAAATAACAGGAAGAGCGATGAAAACTAATGGAATCGTTTAGAGAGAGAAAGAGGCTAAAAGATGATGGGTGTTGAGAGAGGAAGAGAGCGATGAAGGCGGAGGGAGTTATGGTGAAGGGATACGCATGAGAAGGGGTCGAAATTACGGTTGCTGTTATGACCTCTCTCTCTCTCTCTCTCTCTCTCTCTCTCTCTTTCTCTCTAAAAAAGACTCTGTATTACTACTATATGGGGAAGCGACCTCCTCTCGATCGTATACAGTACGACCGCCCCTCTATTTTTGAATTCCTCTCTCTCTCTCTCTCTCGTTTCCACAACGAGTTCACGTAGCCTCTAAAACGAGTCTCACACTTTTTAAATAGTTGTTTCAGTACTAGAAATCTGAAAATTTATTTTTATCTTTAATCATAAAATTTAACGATTTAAAAATAGTGTAGGTTGAGCGCATAAATATATATATATATATAAATAAAAACATTTGAAAATCTTAAAAATTTACCACCTAGATAATACATTACAAGATGTATCATTTCTAATATTGAAAATCTAGTTTTTCCCATATCCATACATCTTGAGGTCGGCAAGATCGAATTGAGGGTCTTCAAGCATTGAAACAACCTCCTCTAGTAATGTTGTGAGGTGTGGCTTAATTTGATTGTTTAGGGACTCACTATATTAAACTTTTTTCGAAATTAAAAATAGCGTTTTAAAATGATAAACTTATATATAAGACTATCGATTTTTTTTTTTTAAAGAAAAAACTCCAAACAATACACTTAAACAACATAACTATTTTTGACCGGCAATACCCCTCACCGGTTCGGTGGCTAGTTCTATCGTAATAACATCTATTAAGACTCGCACTCTGCATCTCTCTTTATGTTATAAGTGTTTCCAAAATCATTGATCAATAAGTGGAATTGGATTCGAATATAGAGAGGATTTATAGTTGAAACACTTTGGAATTGCTTTCAATAACTATTAACATCACTTACGTTTAGTATTATGTGATTACAATCATTCCTAGTCGTCAGATGTGAAACCCGATGACTTATAATTTGGTTGAATTTTTTCTTTTGGACGTTGAGTCATGACATGGTGATACCCTTAGCTACTCAATTTCTTATCAAGGAGCAAGAATTATGGGCAAGCTTTTCTATGCTTTTCCTACAACATAGAACTTATACACTTTCCCTTATCTAACCATTTATTCTGAATGGAGGGCTAAGATTGCCCCAATCACACTGTCACATCTCTTCATTATTATATTTTTAATATTTTTATATAAATTATTTTGATACCAAATTTTGGCTGTCCAATCTTTTATTAAACTCGTACATGTAAAAAATTATAAAAAAAATATTTTTAATAAAATAAAATAACCAAAATACCTCTAAAAGTTTTGAGGGGTATTTTGGTTATTATGTTTTATCAAAAAAATATTTTTAATATTTTTTGTAGGTGCGCCCCAATGAGAAGATGGCATGTACCAAATTTGATATTCATATAATATCTACATAAAAAAATAAAAATAAAATACTTTGAAGCGTCAGATTTAAGATCAAACGGTGAATGACTCACTCGATCAAAATTGGATGGATGGTAGGGGAAGCATAGATCTTATACACTGTAGGGGAAATATAGAAACCTTTCATAAGAGTTATTGTAACATCCGGTCATACTGAAGATTTCTCTCTTTTTAGCTCCATTGTCTGTTCAATTGGAAAAACATTTTCAGGATGATTTTTTTGGACTAATCTCTAGACTGAAGAGGCTATCAAGTTCCAGACAACTCTAAAAGTACAATCTGCTCATGCATAAGCATAAACTATTTGGGATTTTTTTTCCCTTTTCCCTTATTATGCTCTTACAAAGGACTATAACTGTTATGTTAACGTTCCTCTCCTTAATTATTGCTATTCACGTTTTTTTGAACCTCGACTACTATTGCTGCCTATGTTTTGGGTGGGAAATGGAGGAAATGGTAAAGATGAATTAAAATACATTAGCTTCTTATATCCTGATCTTGAATAGACGACATCAATTAAATTTTCTTTTTTAGTTTATAAATCATTTTGACGTGAAATTTGGGATGTGAGTGCTTCTTATAGAAGCACATCTAAAATAAGCAAACACTCTCCAAAATTTGTTTGTAGATGATATGTTAAATAAATTAAGAAATTTATCAAATTATACTTAAGATTTGAACTATTATAACCCATATTTTTTTATATAATTTCAAATAACTCATAATTCTTTTGATCAAATTTCAAATAGCCCATCTATTCACACTTCAAAATACGCTTTGATTCTATCAACCTAGGGTAAAATATTAAATAGTTCATAATTTTTAGAAAATTAAAGTGGAACAATACTAGGAGTGACATCATGACTAAAGCTATCCCAATTGTCTATTTTAAATCAGACTGCATAGAATGGCAGTCGCAATTTCTGATGCTTGTTTAATTCTACACTCTATGGTTTCCCTGGTTATCATTCAAGTATTTGGTTGTAATGAGAGGCATTTTTCATACAACCCAAACAATGCTGCATATTTTTAGTTTCTTACTAGATGCTATCCAAACATCAAATGCCTATATTTTAAGGAAATTCTCCACCAATTCTAAAAAAGGCATTTTTCTATTAGAAATATCTCTAGATATCCAAACAGCCCCTTAGTAGAGATTTGTGCATGAGTGTTGACCCTAATTTGGAAACCCAGGCTTGCAGCAGTGAGTGACGGGATTAGAAAGAATGAGTCAATCAAACGCGTGTAAATTGACGTAAATGCCCTTAGTGGACATGTCGACCTTTGAAGGTTTTGAAAGAGATTTTTTTTATTTTTTTTGAAGATCAAAGTTTCCATCAAATTGTGGTTTTGTTTCTCACCTCACGTGGAGCTTTCGAATAGGTTTTGAGAAGGGGGACGTTTTCATCGAATGACAATGTTGACGTATATGGGCTGAAAATGGCGGGCATTATTCGGTGTACACGGTCTCAATGAGTACATCTAGAAGGAGTCCCCTCTTAAAAAATTTATTTTTGAGATGGATTTTTGGACCTAACTTTCAAGGTGATGTAATCTCTGTACGAAGATGATAAGTATGGAATAAATAAATAAATTTTAATAATTAAAAATAATAATTCTATTAAAAAAATAGTCAGACTGTTAGTTTCAATTGTTTTTAGATGGTCCACTTAAGATAGATGCTTTATGCCTCGAGACCGTAAATGAAGAAATGCGGTATACACTGCATGAAACAATTTTCTTTATTCAATTATCAATTTTGAAATTAGGCCGTTTGGGAAGGCCAACTCTATAGGGAAAATTACATAAAAGCCCCAAAATGAACTTCCTAAGCACTTTACTTCTACTTAATTTTTTCTAACAATTTTTTCCCTAAAACTATCTTTCCTAGCAAATAACCCCCCAACTCAAAAAGTAAAAAAAAGTAGACTAAAATACCCCTACCTTACCCATACGTAACCCTCACTGCAACTCGCTGGTCCGACGTTTGGAAGGGGCAGTCCAGCACTGAAGTCACTGTAAATGGTGCAGTCTGGCGTTTGAAAGGGGCAGTTCAGCATTGAAATCACTAGAATTGGCCTAGTACGGTGTTACGAAAGCGCAGTCCAGCACCTCAAGCAGCCAGTCCGACAATTTCAAGAGGTTGTCCAGCATTGAGGTCACTGCAACTCGCTGGTCCGGCGTTTGGAATGGGCAGTTCGGCACTGAAGTCACTATAAATGGTGCAGTCCAGCGTTTGGAAGGAGTAGTCTGACATTGAAGTCACTAGAATTGACCAGTCTAACGTTACGAAGGGGTAGTCTGGCGAATATGTCAATGGAGGGTGTGATCCGATGTTTGTAAGACTTAGTCCGGCGTTTATTTTTATTGGGATCCGAAAATGATTTGTTATATACTGGAAGGGTATTTTTGTAAAAAAAATGATTTTTTTGTGTTGGGGGTTAGTTGCTAGAAAAGATAGTTTTGGGAAAAAAATTGTTAGGAAAGGTTAGGTGGGTGGTAAAGTGCTTAGGAAGTTCATTTTGAAGGGTTTTATGCAATTTTCCCTACTCTCTATCTCTCATAAGAAGAGTCTAGTATAGGAGAATGTAGTACAAAAATGTACTTCATACTGCTCTCCTTTTTGCTCATGAGAAATTCTCTAGTAGTTTGTGGGATTGAATTGATCATTGAACTGGTGAATGGTTTGATCTACGTCTAACCAACCACTGGTTCAACTGGATTTTAGAAAAACAAAAGAAAATACATATAATAGTTTGAAAATATTAAAAATATTAAAAAAAGTTTTCAAACTTCATTTAGCTGGTTAAAATCGGTTAAAACTTTCTAGTATGATAGGTCAAAACTATTCAAATATTGTTTTTAATCGGTTTTCTACGAAACTCATATTTTATTTTGTACCAAACTAACCAAGGCACCAGTGGTTAATTCAGCATATCTGACCGTTGATTCACCAGTCTTAGTAACTATGGTTCATACGCAAAGATACGGTATTAACGACATTGCAAACATTAAGCAGACGATAAAGAGAGGGTGGGGGTCGTGAAATTTGTTTTTTGTGCTAGCAATAGGAAAAAATAAAAGAAAAGAAGACGGGTGATATCGTCCTTTATATGCTTGTAAGAAATATATATATATATATATATTTACTCCTTTCAGCAAATAACCTACTCAAGTAAAAGAAAGGTATACAAAGGGTTTGGTTTTTTTAGTATAAGGAAGTCACAATCATTTTTTTCTATTAAATTTCAATCAAATAGTTATAAATATTCTTGTAACTAAACTCAAAACCCAACAAATTTTTTTTTTGAATTTCGCGACACACCTCAAGCCATCCAATTGGACATCTAATGGTCAGGCTTAATTGGGACAGCCTTATACTAAAGATAAATTGTCGTGTAATATACAATCGTGAAATATACAATCCTTACAATGAAAGGTTGAATACTTATTGGACATCTAAATATAACTGTCAAAAAATTAGATAGTGTGAGCGCATCATGAAATATTAGGGAGTGATTTGTCTTGTAGGATTCTAGGGCACTTTTTTCTGCTCTATCTTTTTTTTAGGTCGGCCTCTAGGTAAAATGGTTGAATAGGTCGCATTTGACTGATTTAGGGTCCTAAAAACACTCTTAATTATAAGTTTGTCAGAGGGGGTAATTGTACATTTTGCTCCCGCAAGACTATATAATTCTTTTCATTTAAATATCTCTAAAGTTTATGAAAGCTATGCCAACTTT